CCTTTTCACCTGTTAGCTAAATAACTGCAACCCCTAATTGGTCTCCCAGCCTTAATTTTCTCACAACTCCAATCAATCCTCTACACTTTTGCCAAAGTAATTTTCCTTAAGCTTAGATCTGACCGTATGACTCTCCCACACAAACAACTCTTATTGCCTCCAGAAAAAAATAAAAACTCTTAAAGCCCTATACCTGTCTCTAACATATCTCTCCAGACTCCTTAAACAATATTCCTCCACCTATACTCTGAAATTCAGTCAAACTGGCTCTTCCCTTTGTTCCTCACCCAGACATTTCATCTCACACCTTTCTGTGCCTTTCTCTGGCCATCCCTCAAACCTGGAATTCATTCCCTCCTTATAGCCACCTCATAGTCCCCTCTGTTCAAGATAAAGCTTCGTTTTCTGCACGAAGCCTCCCTGATTTCCAACTCCTCCTAACCGATAGTTTCTCCCTCCAAACAATCTTGTATGGCTTTGTATTCATGTTATCTTTATACTGCAAATATTTCTATAGTACTGATTATTACCTCCATTTGACCCCTCCTTTGTAGCCCAAAACACCAGATAACAGTGAATTCATCTAACAACGTATTTCACATTTAGCCCTAGAAGTCCCCACTTTGGCCAAGAGGAGGGAGGTACGTTTCCATAACTTTTTTTTCTGGGACCATTATTGGTTTTTCAATTACTGTTTGATTTCCTTTTAATGATTTTTTTACATTGTTGTAGCCCTTGCATATGTTGTTCTTTTAGTTCTATTTGTTTATTTCAGTCCTAATCAGTTTGTACAAATCTTCCCATATTTCTCTGATTTTCTTGCATTCACCTTTTTCCTACTGAATGATATTCTATTACATGTAGAAGGGATAAAAGCCCAAAGATGACAAACCCTACTTACAAGTTTACATTTTAATGGCAGACAAGTACATATAATATATATGTATACATGACATATACATCATAAATGTAAAGTTAATAAATACAAATATATAGAGAGTAATTAAATACAAAGCAGTTTGTGAGAGAGGACGTTAGCAGGCGCAGGAATCAGGAAAGGCTTTCTACAGGATATCCTTCTTGAGATTCATCTTACAGGAATAAAGGGATTCTGTGAAGAAGTGAGGCTAGAGTCTTTTTCCAGGAATGAGAAATGGTGATTAAAATGCTTCTATACCCATAAAAATGACCAGGTTCCATGTTGGAGGGATAGAACTGATATCAAGTTCCTGTGAATCAACAAGCTTTGAAGAAAGATCCTCCACCATACAACTAAGGTCAATACTGAGTGTCCAATTTGGGGAATATTGGGGGCACCTCAAAATGAAAAACAGAATGTATAAAAAAATTCAGTGTCAGGAAAAGCCAGCATTTGTATCTGACTCAATAGAAAGAGGAAATGCACAAATTCTAAGGTAAAATGTATTGGCTAAAGTTTTTTTTTAAAGGGTCATTTAGATTGAGGGCACTCAAATGCATTTGTGATTTTGAGTGAATGATTGCTAGCAATGGAAATGTTTGTCCTGTCTTTTCTGTAAGTCTGTGCTGATATCTATTCAGTAAGAAAAGGTGCTCAGTCCTTGTACTGAAGCCAGTTTAAAAGTTTCTCAAAAAAGTGGAGGGAAAAAAGCAATCTAAAACTATTTTGTAATTAGTTTCCAGCAGCCCATCTGATATGGAGTTGAAGATCCCACCCTACAGGTGTTGTTCTCTTAAGTTTTTCCCCCAATTTGGAAAGGAGGAACTGTCTCAGAAAAAAGTGAGGAAAAGACTTTTGAGGAAAAAGGGCAAAATTTCATTCTAAGAGTTTGGTTTTACTGATCACTATGAGCTTCCGAATGATTTGGCTGAATTTAATTGCTCATAAATTAAAGCAAAGTCACCTAAAAAGTAACGAGAATAGTACAGTATATTCACTTATTAAATTCTAAAGTAAGAATGGCAAAAATGGGATTACAGTCTATGGGGGAAGACAGCTGGGTACAAGATCACAAAGACGCCAGCAGAGCTTAGAAATATACTAGTCTAAAAAGAAACAAGAATGATTACTTTTAGATTCCATCATCAGCCCAGGGATCCACAGAATGACAAGACATGCCCACCCCTCTCCCAACCCATCCAGTTGAGACAGAGATAGATGGAAAGCAAGAGTGCAGGCCCCAGCCCCAGAAGGCACCAACCAGCAGCCCCAGTCTAGTGGTAGAAGAAAGGACCTAGGCAATGACAAGCCACAGGCACCCCACCCCCAAAGCTTATGACTGTAGAAGTCTCGTATTAAGAAGCAGCTCTGTGGGATTCCAGGCCGTATCCCAAATGAGCAGCAGCCCTGAACCTGGTGGCAGAACAGCCCTTGGCAAAAACCTGCGTAGGCGATCTCCAAGCCTGTGGCACCACAACAGCCCTGAGCCTAAGGGCAGGGTGGGTAAGACCTAGGAAGAACCTAATACAAGGGGAGGTCCTAAGCCCTGTGGTAAGAGGCAGTCTTAAAGCAATGCCCAGCACTGAAGCAGTCCAAGAGTCCTTTCGAAGAAGAACCTAGTCTTGGCTACCAAGTTTGGGACCTGGTCGGCCCTGCCCAAGTCATTACTTGCAAAATTTGACCGAAGATTATCTTGCACACTGAACTCCACTCCCCATACTTAGGCTGGAAAGAAGAGAAAAACAAGGAAAACTGAATACAATGAATAAACCCAGAGAAAGATAGCAAACCCACAAGTTCAGGTAAAGCCTCAAAGAAAAAAGATGTCCTAGCCATAATGACTACAAAGAAGAACTCAAACAAAATATATAAAACAGAATAGCTATCGATAAAAAAAAATGGCAAGGAAAATTAACACCGAGAGACAGTAGAAAAACACTCTGGAACAGAAAATTAGATGAGCCAAATAGAAAATAATGACTTAATGAGTCAGTTATCAGGTTAATAAAACATTTATTAATCACCTACAAAGCACCAGGCACAGGACTAAGCAAAGGAGATACAAAAAAGAGGCAAATGACAGTTCTGGACCTCAAGGAGCTCACTACGTAATGGGGAAGACAATAATTAAATATACACAACAATCTCTCTACAGGATAAACAGGAATTAATTAACGGAGAGAAGGCACTAAAATTAAGAGGGTTCGGAAAGGCTCCCTATAGCAGATAAGATTTTAGTTGAGACTTAAAGGAAACCAAGAGAAACCAGGAGATGAAGAGGAAGAGTATTCGGGACATGGGGAATAGACAGAGAAAATGCCAGGTGCCAAGAGATGTTAGAAGATGTTGCTGGATGTCTTGTTCATGGAACAGCACGGAGGCCAGTGTCACTGGATCAAAGAGTTCGTGGCAGGAAGTCAGGTGTAAGAAGACTGGAACGGGAGGGGGCTAGGTAAAGAAGAGCTTTGAATATCAAACAGAGGATTTTGTATTTGATCCTGGAGGCTATAGGGTGTCACTGGGGTTTACTGAGTATGGGGGTAGCATGGTCGGACCTGTGCTTTGTGAAAATCACTTTGGTGGGAGAATGGAGGATGGACTGAAGTGGAGAGATGAGGCAGGCAAACCCCATTTCAGTAGTCTAGGAGTGAGGTGATGAGGGCAATGTCAGAGAGAAGAGGGATTATTGGAAGACAGGTTGCAAAAGTGAAAACCTGGCAACAGATAAGATATGGGGATGAAAGCAGTGAGGAATTGAGGATTACACCTAGGTAGTGAATCTGAGGGTCTGTGGTTATCATATTATCCTCTGCAGGAAAAGGGAAGGCAAGAGGGAGGGAGGGTTAAGCTTTGTTCTATATTGGCAGTCTTAGAAGACAAAAAAGGGAGGTTCAGGGGACTATATTGGGGAAGAAAGGAAGGAAATAATTATCATATCAGAGAAGTGCATAACATGAAGAGTACATAATCAGGAAGGAAGGAACAAAAGGAACTGGCATCCATGGATAAGGACTGAGCACAATTACACACATACACATATAAAGATCACAGTATAGAAATTACAACGGAAGACCAGAACAAGGGAAGGAGAGAGAAGGATCTTAGAGGGAGATAGGAGACATTCATAAGAATACTGTCTAGCACAGCTATAAATGCTCAAGTTAGTGTTTTTAAAGTATTTAAATCTATCCCTATGCATGAGTTTTATTCTACATAAAAAGCAACCATTAATCCTAAATAAATTGTACCCCTTACTTTTATGCCTTTATTCTCTCCCTACACCACGATAAAGAGTTTTCCTGATATAGTGAATTCAAAACTTCTTAACTTTTTGGAAAATCACTACTGGCCTCCTATATAAATAAATGTAGTAAGCAACTAAAGCTTGGTTTCCTTTTGGCGTGCAGAAAAGTGATGTTTACAAACTGATGAGGTGAATTTGGCTCCACAATAATTCTCATTCTTTCCCTTCTATTTTTAACCTTGGGTCAGCTCCTCTTAGACACTTAATCTCTGGGGAAGTTTTTGTATCCTCTGCAAAACGAAGGCTCCTTCAAAGAACTGTCAAATGGACCTGGGCACAGAGAGTAACAGTACATTTTATTTCCCTACGAAAGGGCTCTAAAAACAAGCCCCTGAAAAATCAGGGTCGATGACCTAGACCAAGGTTCACACAACCTTCTTTTAAAAACATCTCTAGGCGTCCGACTCTCCTTGTAGACCCACATTAGGCCCACACCCCAGGGAGGATTGCCAGGGTACGCGGGAGTGCACTCTCGGGATCCCAGGAACACATGCAACTCCCGACCTGTGGCTGCAGCAGGCTAACGGTCCCAGGAGAGCAGGCTTAGGGGAGGCGACTCGGAGTGTCAGGAGACCCCTCCTCCCTCCCAGCCCCCCAAGCCAAGCCGCAGACCGGGGTGCAGGTTCGTGGGGACAAGGCGAGAGCGGATAACTTCCGGGAATGCCGCCCCCCCAGCCCCCACCCGCCCCGGGCGCTATCTGACTGCAGCCGCGGCCGTAGGGACAGCGTCCTCAGCCCGCACCCCGCCGGGGTAGGCCGCGGGCCGGGGTCACTCACAGGTGACGATGGGCTTATTCTCCATGGTGTAGATCACAGGTCGGAGCGGCTCCTCCGGAGGCTCCATGAGCGTCCAGCTTCACCAGCCACGGCTCGCCCCGCCGCTCTCCATGGGCAGCCCAGGCCTCGCTTGCCCGGGGCCGCCGTCCCCTCCTCTTCCTCCTCTTCCTCCTCCTCCGGCCCTCACCGCACCGTCCGGGGCCCACCAGCACAGCCCCACAACTGCCGCCGCCTCCAGAGCGGCGGGCTCCCGGCCTCTGCCACTTCCGGCAATGTCTCCCGGTGCATTACCACTTCCGGGGACGAGGCTCGGGCGACTTCAAGGGGAGGGACCTTGTTCCCTTCCCTTCCCCTCCCCCCAACCAAGTCGGGAAGGCAGGGGGAGGGAGGGGAGGAGAGGGACAGGAAACAACAGGGGGAGGGAGGGGCTGAGGAGGAGGGAAGAGTGGGGAGGTCCAGAAAGAAAACCAAGTAGAAAAACGGAAGGGAGAAAAAGTGACTGGGAAAGAAACGGAAGGATAAGGAGGACTGCTCAGTGAGGATCTCTAAGATAGGGGAGGGGAGAAGAAATGTGTTCTTCTGGCTAATTAGGGTTGGGGGCGAAGGGATTGAATGGGCTCACAACCCTTGGGGGGCGGGAGTCATTTGGCGCACACAATTATTATCTGGTGTTTTGGACTTGTAATTCAGCTTCATCACCTCCCCCCCGCCAAAAAAAGAAAAAGTTAAAATTTGTAAGTTCAGAGACAAACAGACAAGCAGGACAGCTTTGAAAGTGACACGTTGAATTTATTATATAGTTTCTTGAAAAAGAAAACCCCTATACGATCTACCTAAAATGCACCACATGGAACACTGTCATTTGGGAATTATCGGAACTCTTGTAGGAGTGTGAACAATCATCTAATAACCAGCCAGGCAGCTAGTTAACAGAACACACGCTTGGGATCAGCAAGACTCATCTTCCTGGCTGTAAATCCAATAGCAGAAAATTTCTAGCTGTTTGACACTGGGCCAGTCACTGAAGCCTTTTTGCCTCAGTTTTCTCATCTGTAAAATGAGCTGGAGAACGAAATGGCAAACGACTTTAGAACCTTTGCCAAGAAAACCCTAAAAGGGGTCATGAAGGGTGGGTCAGAAAAGAAACAATGAACAAAAACAGTAGACATGAAGTGGGCAGCTGTTTCTCTGCATCTCCTTTCTCTTTCACCACTTTTTCCAGAACTATCAAAGGTAGAGAAGATAAGATCAGGAAACAGTCCTGTCATTCCAGTATTCAATCTAAATAGACTGCCCTTATCATTCCTAAATGTAAGCATGCGTACTTGCATCCATCTTGTTGGTCAAGGAAGACCAAACTCCCAAAACATCCTGAAATGGATCCCTCCTCCAACCTCCAAAGAAATGTTTTAAGACAGGTGGGCCACATGTGGCCCTCTAGTTCCTCCAGTGCAGCCCTTTGGATCCAAACTTCAAATTTCAGTCAAAGGGTGGCACTTGATTGCCTAGGGGTCCACGTGTGGCCTGAAGGCCACAGGTTGCTTATCCCTGTTCTAAGAGGAAGCCTTTCCTGCCTGAATGGAGATATACCTCTAATGGACTGCATAGAAAACTCTTGCCTGAAAATTATCAGAACCCTTGTTGGACAGGAAAAATATCCTAATAATCAATGATTCTCAGGTCTATAGACATGAAGGGCAGCTAGCTGACTGGTAAATAGATAGCACTCAGTATGGTATCAGGAAAACTCATCTCCATGACTTCAAATTCAGTGTCAGTCAGATACTAATTATATGACCATAGACAAGTCCCTGAACCTTTTTTGTCTCAGTATCCTCATCTGTAAAATGAGTTAAGGAAATGGTAAACCACTCTAGTATGTTTGCCAGGAAAGCCCCAAATGGGTCATGAAGATTCAGTCACCTGCTGAAAGGCTTGAACAAGAACAACAATAGTTATGAAATATACTGCCATTTCTGTGTCTCTGAACTCCCCTTTTCATGACATTTTCCACAGCTCAAATGCAGAGAACATCAGACCTAGCAGGAAGAGAATTGGAGGCAACAGTCATGTTATTGCAGTACTCAATGTAAACAGGCTATTTTTGCCACACCTAAATGCAAGATTGAGTACTTCCATCCATCTTGTTGGTCAAGGAAGGCCAAAGTCTCAATAAATTCAGCACTCAGCTGAAATGGATCCCTCCTCTAAACCCTAAAAATAATGTTCTAAGAAGAAGCTTCACCTGCAAGAATTGAGATTGCATTACATTGGTTTCACCTGATATTTGTCAGAACTGTTGTTGGAACATGAACAATGATCTAATAATCAATGATTCTTGGGTCTATAGATATGAAGGGCAGCTAAGCAGCTAGTAAATAAAGCACTCTTCTTGCAATCAGGAAGACTCATCTCCCTGACTTTAAATCTGAACTCAGATAACTACTAGCTGTGTGACCATGGGCAAGTCACTGATCTGTTTTTGTTTCAGTTTCCTAATCTGTGAAGGGAGTTTAAAAAGGAAATGGCAAACCACTTTAGTATCTTTGCCAAGAAAACCCCAAATGGGTCATAAAAAGTCAGTTACAACAGAAAGGAATAATTAACAATATACATGAAATGAGCTGCCATTTCAAAGCATCTCAACTCTATTCTTTCATCGATTTTTTTTTGTTTTTGTTTTTGTTTTTTTAGAGCTCTCAAAGATAGAGAAGATTAGACGTGGAGGAAAGAGAATTGGAGGCAACAGTCATGTTATTGCAGTACTCAATGTACACAGGCTGTTCCCATTACTCGTGAATGTGAGCATGAATACTTGTTCTTGTTGGTCACGGAAGGCCAGTTAAAGTCTCAATAAATTCAACTCTCAGGTGAAATGGACCTCTCCTCTGACTCCTCAAAAAATGCTCTGGAAGAAGTCTTACCTGCAACAATGGAGATATGCCTAAAATCCACCCACCACATAGAACACTCTTGCCTGAGAATTGTCAGAATTCTTGTTGGAGTATGAATAATGATCTAAAAATCAATGATTCTTAGGAAGGCACATATGACTTTGGGAAAACTTGCCCCATGTAAGGCAATTCTTTCTTGGATGTATACTTCAGTAAAGTTGAGTAAGAGACAGAAAAATTAACAATGTGTAACTTCAAAGATGAATTTGTCTAAATAACTTTATAACTAAAAAATCATTATATGATATAAAGAAGCAGAACACATTGAAGCTCTAGACACAATACAAGGAAATCAGAGAAGTCAGTGCCAATCCAACACTGGGAATCCTGCTGAGTTTTCATGAGGATCTTCCTAAAAAGGCATCTGATATCATATGGTACCAAGTAGAAGAATTCCAAAGCACCAGTCAACAACAAACCCACATATTTCACTCAGAGAATTGTTCTGCCTTGGAAATTGTCACTCACTCTGCCTGTGGACTTCCAAAAGGACTCTGGGAATTGTAACTTGTTTCCCAGGTCCGAAAGATATGTAACAGTTTCCTAGAGTGGATTGAATCAAATAAATTTTCAAATACTTAATTGTTACAAAGTCTAGTACAGAAAAATCAAAATGGAGTAGGTGCATTACTGTACCACACAACATAGGCTTGTTTTGAGAGTCCATGGTTGATTCAAAACAGGAAGAAAAAAAAAGACTCATGAGAAAAAGTATTATGCAACTTTAAATGAAAGAGGAGAACCGATTGGGTCTATAGACACGAAGGGCAGCTAACTGACTGGTAAATAGAGTACTCAGCTTGAAATCGGGAAAATTCATCTCCATGACTTCAGATCCAACCTTACCAGCTGTGTGACCATGGGCAAGTCCCTGAACTCTTTTTGTCTCAGTTTCCTCATCTGTAAAATGAATTGGAGAAGGAAATGGCAAACCACTCCAATATCTTTTCCCAAGTGGGTCACGAAGACTCATTCAGAACTGAAATAATAAATAACAACAATAGATGTGAAGTGTGCCACCATTTCTGTGCATTTCATCTCTCTTCTTTCACTAGTTTTTCCAAAATTTTCAAATGTAGAGAGGATTAGACCTAGAGGGAAGAGAATCGAAGGCAACCATCCTGTCATTACAGTACTTAATGTAAATAGGCTGCTTATGTAACACCTAAATGTGAGAATAAATACGTGTATCCATCTTCTTGGTCAAGGAAGGCCAGTGAAAGCTTCAGTTGATTCAGCTCTCAGCTGAAATGAATCTGTTTTCTGACCCCTCAGAAAATGTTCTGAGGAGAAGCTTTATCTGCATGGATGGAGATATACCTAAATTGTACCACATGGAACATTCTTGCCTGAGAATTATCAGAACACTTGTTAGAGCATGAACAATGATCCAATAATCAATGTTTCTTGGGTCTATAAACATGAAGTACAGCTAGGTAGGTAGTTAAATAGACTAATAGAGCACTGAGCTTGGAATCAGGAAGGCTCATCTCCATGATTTCAAATTTTACCACAGGCAATTACTAGATGTTTGATTGTGGGCAAGTCCCTGAACTCTTTTTGCCTCAGTTTCCTTATCTGTAAAATGAGTGAGACAACAAGAAGAGATACAAAGTGCTCCACCATTTCTTTGCATCTCATCTCTCTTCTTTCCCCACTTTTTCCTGAATTCTCAAAGGTAGAGAAGTTGAGATCTAGTGGGAAAAGAATTAGAGGCAACAGTGGTGCCATCCCAGTAGTCAATGTAAATGGGCTGCTCTTGTCACTCCTAAATGTAAGAATGAGTATTTGTACCTATCTTATTGGTCAGGAAAGGCCAGCCAAAGTTTCAATAAATTAAGCTCTCAGTTAAAATGGAGCTCTCTTCTGAATCCCAAATAAATGTTCTAAGAAGAAGCCTTACCAGGACGAATGTTGATTATACCAAAAATGCACCACATGGAACCCTATCATCTGAGAATTGTTAGAATTCTTGTTGGAATCATCTCAAAAAATCAATGATTCTCAGGAAGGGTACATATAATGTTGGGAAACCTTTTCCCATATAAGGCAATTCTTTCTTGGATGATATAGAGTTGAGTAAGAGACAGAAAAATTAAGAAAGTGGCAAGTTGTAGAAGAAGGGAAAGATGAATTTGTCCAAATAACCTTCTCATAAAATCATCAACTGGAATTTGTTGAAGCTCTGGACACTATACAAGGAAACCAGAGAAGTCAGCGCCAAACAAACATTGGAAATCCTGGTGAGTTTTCATGAGGGTCTACATAAGAGGGCATTCTTGTATTAGATGGTATGAAGTGGAAGAATTCTGAAATGTC